AGTATTGGTCACACTACGCCCGATATTGGCCGATTCGAGACCGTCAAATTCGTCCGATTTTTCGGGTTCATTTATCGGCCGAATTTTCTGGTCTCACTACACCCGTCATCGGTCAAATATACACAACCGTTTGAATTTATTGTAATATGCCTCATTCGTGTTCACTAGTTGTATGAAATGGAAGTAATCAACCAACTTTATTTTTTGGAAACCAGTCCTGTTCTAAAGTATTTACTGTTCAGTGAAAAAGTAGAAAGGCAATGGTGGGTCAACAGAATATTTGAAGAAAGGGAAAAATATGGTGAATTTCACACGCTTTTCCCACAACTTTTAAAACAGCCAATCAAATTTTTTGAATATATGAGGGTATCACCTGAAACCTTTTTTTATATTTTGGAAAAAATTCGTCCATACATAGAAAAGTATTGCAGTTTCAGAAAATGCATAATTCCAGAAGAAAGACTTGTAGTAACTTTAAGGTAAATATTATTATTTATATTAATATTATTGTTAATAGGTAATCATTACTTTATAATTTTTCAATTAATATATAAAATAACTAATATGAAATGAGATAATTATAATTTTCCGAGGCTATAATTATGTTTTTTTTACACAAATTTAATTTAACACGAATAAAGTTATTGAAAAAATAGATCAGTATAAAATAGTAAAAAATTTTATTGAACAAATTTATGAGAATAAAATAATGAAAACAACTTTTATTGAACAATTTAATAAGAAAAACAACGTTTCGTACTTTCAATTTAAAAAAAAAATAATATACATAACTTTTTAATATTATAGTAAAAAATTAACTTGCTTATAAAATATACATTTTTTTTATTCGTTGTTAATGTTTGGCCAAGAAGATAAACATGCATTATCTACAGCTGTAGGATTTAAGTTTGGTTGACCACAAGGAATAGTGTTCTTAATATTAGACTGGCCATTTGTTGAAGTATATTCGGGCTGATGCATATAGTATGAGGTTATAGGGGGAATCGATGAATTGACAAAGAATGTTGAAGGAGTAAAAGTATTACTTGATCCAGTGGTATTTTCAGTTTGTTCTGCCATTACAACATTTTGAAGTTTAAGCCTTACAGCTAACTTTCTGTGTTTTGGTATTTCTCTTAAATGAGGCAACAAACTCATAAGGAAATGAAAATCTTCATCTTCATCATTATTTTTTTTTTGTGAATTTGCCTGTATCGTATTGAACTGTAGAAGTTTTTGTTTTTCGATTGCTAGTAAATCTTGCATCACATCATTTCTTCCCTTCTTTTTTTTTGATGATGGTCCTTCTTCAAAAGATAAAATACCAGACGATGGATTTTCAGTACGTTTTTCAGAAAAACTTGTTTCATCAAAATCATTCACGACATCAATGGACGAATTACATGGTGAATTTGGAAAGCTCTCTTGTTCATCAATATGAGTTTTTGATCGTTCTACTATGTTTCCCACCATTTTTCTAGGAGTTATATTATCCTTTAAAAAATATAACGACTCAAAATATTTCCACTGAGATTCAACAGCTTCTTCTAATCCTGATCCTGTGGGACGTTTTAATTTTTTAAATTCTTTCCTAAATGTATCTCTTAAACTTGCCCATTTAGTCTTTAAAATATCACCTATGTAAAAAAAAAAAATTAGCCTACTAAATGTTTATACATATTATAATTATATTATATTATATTTGTATTGTTATTACTTCTTAGTTGTTTTTATTTACGGCATCCGTGCGGTAAGTTGAATTAATATTATACAATTTTAGAAAATAAGTAAAATCATTATTCATGGCTATTTAAATATAATTTCGTTCAAAATTGAACTTTAAATAACTAAAAAAAAACTGTGTTCGTGTATATTTTTAGATTTTTTGATTATGGAAATAACTACTTATACCTATGGAGAAGGTTTTAAATGTTCAATCCTTAGCTACAAAATTTGAATATTTTATCAATTTTTAATTACAAAATAATTATTAAATTTTAAATTTGATAAATATTGTTAATATTTAAACTTCAAATTCTTATAAAAAAAATTATGTCTATGTATTTTTAATATTTTCAACTAACTATTGTAGCAATATATCAGGAGTCTTGAAGGATTTTTGGTCCAACACATAAAATTGTATTGATATTTATAAAAAAAAAACTAAAAAAATTGAAATTTGAAATTTACCGTAAGAATGAGTCAACATTATTTAAGTTTAGAAAATGAAAATATAAACATTCAGTGAAAATTACATGTATTCGCAGTTATTGAGAAATCGAGTAAATATCCAATGTTGTAAAAATATGTACTTCAAACGCTCATAAAAATTTAATTTGACTATCTTGTAGAATTTTTTTTTGTTAAAGGTGGACAAACTTATGAGGAATCTTGTTTTACATTTTCAAATCTTAGATTTACAAAGCAACATTTTTATGAATTTCTAGCTCCAAAATAATTTGCACATTTTCGTTGTTTTTACGTATTTTATCAATATTTGAACTTTAAATGCTTATAAAAAAAAAATGTGGCTAGATTTTTAATATTTTTAAAATATCACTGTAACAATATATTAGGAGACTTATATTAAATTTTTAAGATTTTTTTACTCAACAAATACAATTTTATTGACATTCATAGAAAAAGGTTAGAAAAAGGTTCAAAAAGTTGAAAAATGTAATACAAGGTTTCTCACACAAATTGTTAAGTACAATAGCAGTTTAAAAATATTAAAAATACATAATATTATATATGCATGTACATGCATAATGTACATAATTATTTTTTATTTATTTAAGTTCAAGTTTAGTATTACCATAAAAATATTATTCCTGGGTACTTGAAACTTTTAGAAGTTCTTTGATTTGTTTTGCCAATAATTGCTTATTTTTTTTCAAGGAAATGTATGTTTATTTATTTGTATTTTTTAGGTATCTATCTACAGGCACATCTTATCGAGCGTTGTCATTTTCATTCCGTATGGCCCATAATACAATTGGTAAAATTATCTACGAGACTTGTAATGCTATTTGGGAGGTTTTTTCTAGCATTCATATGCCGTTCCCAAGCACTGAATTATTTGAACAAATTGCCTATGATTTTGAGAAACTATGGAAATTCCCGAACTGTATTGGATGTATTGACTCAAAACATATACGTATAAAATGCCCAAATAACTCTGGTTCGATGTTTTATAATTACAAAGGTTACTTTTCTGTCCACTTACAAGGAGTCTGTGATGCCAAATATAAATTTATATCGGTTGATATAGGAGCATACGGACGACAGAGCGATAGTGGAATATTTACCGAATCAAATATTTTTAAAAATTTGGAAGCTAAATCCTTCAATGTACCTAATTACAGACCATTACCAAACACAACTACTCCAATGCCATTTGTTCTATTGGGTGATCAAGGATATCCACTGAAAGATTATCTATTAAGACCCTATCCATTCGATAAAAATTTGGATTCGGCAAAAGAAACATTTAATTACCGTTTGAGCAAAGCTCGGCGTATGATTGAATGCACTTTTGGAATTTTGGTATCGAAATGGAGATGTTTAAAATCCGAACTTCAAATGAACCCGGAACATGTTGATATAGTTATTAAGACTATATGTTTATTGCATAATATTATCATCGATAAAGAAAGTGTAGATGAAACACTACTGGAGCAGGTTCGGCGTGACCCAACCATCAACTCAGAAACACATTCAGTATCTAGACGCAATAACAGATCAAGAACGGAAGCATACATAATACGTGATACTTTTAAAGATTATTTCACAACTGTTGGAGCTATAATATAAAAGTAACAATTGTTAAATTGTACCTATAATAATATTATATAATTATTCATACCTAAATTTGTATTTTATTTATTACCTATTTATCAAATTTAATTCAGATTTACCACCATCACAATATTAATAATAATAATAATAAACAATAATCTCAATTACAATATTTTATGAAATTTATGTATTTATATTTTTATATTTACTTACCTTTGACCTGCATTTCTTTTTCAATTTCCTGCCACAATTTTCTGGTTACATCTCTGTTATGGTGTTTTTTGCTTGTAGAATCCCATATAGGTTCTCTTTCAAAAACTAAACTAATTAGTCGTTCGCAATCAACCATTATTTCAAAATTCCAAGATACTTTTTTTTAAATAAAACACAGGCAATGAAACACAAAAACTAGTTACGTATGACGTACCGTCTTCTTACTAGTGTTTGATGTAAATGAATAATAATACCTAATAATAATAAAACCTAATAATAATAATTGTTCAACTATATTGGTATTATTTCGGATTGGTAGACGATGCGTGGGAAATATCCATTTTCGGCTTCAAACGGCCGATAAAAACAAATAATATTGTTTTTGCCCGTTAACGGTCGTATACGGCCGAATTATTCTGAACTAGTGTGACCATTATAAATAGATTCAATTGAATTAATATATTCGGGCGTATACGGCCGAATTCGGCCGAACGTTTTTCGGCCGATATCGGGCGTAGTGTGACCAATACCTAAAGGTGCCGTCCGCCGCATGATAATAATATAAATATCTAATAAATAATTATTATGATACATTATTAGATCCCCCCTCCCCGAGACCTAGCCAT